AGAGAGAGAGAGAGAATTATTTTTGGAAATGTATGGCAATGGTAGTTTAGGAATATTGTTTAATCAATATCAGTTTTTTCATCCTTATATATATTTGCGATCAAATTAAAACTTAGTTCACCGTCTTCACGTACATCCATCTTCGCCACACGACACCATCATCACCTTCACAACAGCAACCAATCACAATCACCAAACCACTTTTACTTGATGTCATTGTCGTCTATATTCATCACCATCAAACACTATCAGGAGACCATCATCCCACAATTGTTGGATCATCTTCTCCATGACACGATAATCGACACCACCAACACCTAACCATCGTCAACTTCATGATGAAGAGAAACACACATCAAGACCCAGAAGATTATTGCGAGAATCGCCTTCACAGTAACCTCTACATTCAACCTTAAAGATCAAGTTGATTATCTGGATCATTTAAGAAGATCAAGTTCATTTTGCTAAAAATTATACATTTTATGGAGACATGCATCACAAATTAGTTTCCCATTCTTATGATAATATAATTCATTATTTTAAAAGTGTTTATTCTTCTCATATACTTTTGTTTAATATTTCGGTATTTTTGGTCAGAACGAAATGTATATATAAATTATTGTTCCTTTTGAATATAAATTATTGTTTGTATAAATGATTTTGTGTATATAGAAAAGTTGAATTTTTGAAGAATCTCATTATTGTATACATATATACCAGAATGTTATTCTTTTTATCTTAATTGTGGTTATGTTAAGTGCCATTTATAATATAATATATAAAATATATGTGATTTATTAAAACAATTTTCGTAAATATCTTTAAATAATTACTAATTCAAATTTTTAAAAAGTTACTATCCTACGATTTTTTTGATTTATTCATTTTATAAATTATAATTCACTAAAATACCTCTGTTAACCGCTATTTATTTAATAAAAACTATTTATTTCAATAACAATAGCATCTTAAAACTAAATTAAACACTAAAAAGTAAAAACCTAAAATAAAAAACTTTGAAAAGCTATATAATTATATATTTTGACTAATTGTGTCCAAGTCGTTACTATATTCAAACAAATGCCAAATGCAACAAACTCATTTTCCGTTGCCGACACGGATTCTACTCTTAAACAAACCCTTTTCTCTCGCTCATATACCTGAGAGACTCTGAGAGTCCTAACATCTCTCGGCGTTGATCTCCAAGATTCTCCGGCGAGATCTCAGTCATACGCGTCGGAAAATCTTCATCCTTTGATCGCAACGCTGTCGTGGAATATCTGCTGGTCATCATAATTAATTTCAAATAAAATGGCTCCGGTGTCGGCTCTAGCCAAGTACAAGCTCGTCTTCTTAGGAGATCAATCAGTCGGAAAAACGAGCATCATTACTCGATTCATGTACGATAAGTTTGACAACACTTATCAGGTAATCTAATTTGATCCAAGTAGTTATTATGTAGCTGCTATCGGACCATGTTTTATGTGTAGCTTTTTGATTTGTGATATCCGTTGAGAGCTTTTTTGGATGATTGATCTGATTTTGACTTGGACTTGATCTCGATTCGTTACTCCCTTGGTTGTAGAAAAAAACTCAGTTTTGTTTTCAAACAGATCCATTTTCAACTCCAAGAGAAATTCGATAATCGCATTGAACTTTGTTAGGGATATGGATAGGAACATCTCGGTGTTTAAGTTTTTGAGAGTTCCATGTGTTAAATCGTGACAGATTTGAAGGAACTAAGATAACACGTTCACTGTTTTGGTCGTTCCAGCTTAAGCTAATTAGGACCATGAGTGGTTCTGCTTGTGTCCATATACGCATCCAGGCTACAGATTGAATAATACCAGTATTGATTTTGCTAGATGAAGTTGCTTCTGATAACATGGAGGTGCTTCCCCTGCTAGAATATCTGCCTATTGAGTTTGACTATCTGAGAACAGTTAAAATACCAATTTTTGTCTAATCTATCTATAATGTACAAAATGTTGATTTCCCAAGCAATCAAGAAGGATAAAAGAATGAGTAGATTGTATAAGAAAGTTGACAAATTCCTAATCTTCCTCATTAATTCATTTAAACTCCCAAAAAATGTTTCCAAGCAATCATTTAAGTCCATAGATTAACTGCATAGATAGTCATATAAAGGAGCTTCGTTCTTTTATAGCATAGTTTTTCGCCTTTGGTAGTTGTTTAGTTAATTTGCTACTCCTATTAATAAGAAGTCACCTTTCATTTTGTCAGTAGATTGGTTTAGTTTAGTTGTGTGAAGCTTTCTTCATAATCCAGGAAACCATTTCCTTGGCAAAAGTAAAAATTTAAAACAATAACTTATCAGTACTTACAATTAATAGCAATGCATACACCTTTTGATGAATTGCTAATTGGAATTCAGCCCTTTTGGTTTCCCTTGCAGTATAGAATGTATACATTTTCCTCTTGTAGTTTATTCCTTTCCAATTTCTTATCAAACATGTCATTTGTAATCTCAATCTTTTTTGTATTTCCTTGTGTATACTATGAATTTGTATCTTTTATCCAGGCAACAATTGGTATTGATTTTCTTTCAAAAACTATGTATCTTGAAGATCGAACAGTTCGTTTGCAGCTTTGGTAAGATTATACATTACTCTTTCCCCAGGATCTATTAATTAAGTGATACATTATTCAATCTTTTGAAAAACTAATTTATTGATTTTTGGTATTAAAAAGGGACACAGCTGGACAAGAAAGATTCAGGAGTCTCATTCCAAGTTATATTAGGGACTCCTCTGTTGCTGTCATTGTTTTTGATGTTGCAAGTATGTTTTTTCTCTTCCCTTTTTGACTTCTTTTAGTCCCGTTTTTTTTTTTTTTTTTTTTAATAGTGTCTGTGTCTGTGTCTGACATACATTGGACTGAGACTCAGACTAATGACGATGACACAAAATTTACAGATATTTGTCCCACCCAAAAAGACAAAACAAGGTGAGACAAGGATTTGCTCTCGATCTCTTGTGTGTGAAAAAGACGTAAATGCCCTTATCTCTTTTTTTATGATAATTTATAATCTCAACCACTTTTATAATGGTTTTAGGTCGTCAGTCGTTTCTGAACACTGCAAAATGGATTGAGGAGGTTCGTACTGAGCGAGGTAGTGATGTCATCATTGTCCTAGTTGGCAATAAAACTGACCTTGTGGATAAGAGGTAAATAAATGGTGGTTATTTTTAGTTTACTTTATAAATATAATAATTAAAACAAGAAAAAACATCAGAAATATCTAATAAAGGGTAGTTTTGTCAAAAAAAAATTATAATGATTTACATCCATTTCCTTTTGATGCATATTTTGTAGGCAAGTTTCAATAGAGGAAGGAGAAGCTAAAGCTCGTGAATATAACGTAATGTTTATTGAAACTAGTGCCAAGGCAGGCTTCAATATAAAGGTAAAATGACTATTTTGCCCCTGTCTTCATCTTCCTCTATGTAATTAAGCAAACCCTAGAAGTATTTCCTCATCTCCTTCGTCTTAAACCCTAAAGTCAGACTAAATCCAATCAAAACCCAAAAATAAACTAAAACTAAAACAATAAGGGCAAATCCGTCATTATAAATATTTTCAAAACAAATGAAAAGTTTGGACCTTTAGTGCTAGTCCAAACCTTTTTGGACCAAAGTGATAATTTTCGACAAACCACAGGGACGATTTTTGCAGTTTTGTCATAACAAAATCAAAACTAAAAAAAAAAAATACAGAGTAGAAGTATTATTTAAGTTTTAGTTTTAGTTTAATTTTTTGGGTTTTGGTTGAATTTGAAATTTTGGACTGAATTTGCGATTTTTGGTAAAGCACAGGGGCCAGATTTGTAATTACTCTAAGAAACGACTTCAAATTTTGGATGAACTTGCGATTTTTGTGTAAAAGTACAGGGAGCATATCCATAATGAAATGCGAACTTAAAAAGTTGACACTGAGATAATTACAAAATTTGGACTGAACTTGCAATTTTGAGATAATTACAAAATTTGGACTGAACTTGCATATCCATAATGAAATGCGAACTTAAAAAGTTGACACTGAGATAATTACAAAATTTGGACTGAACTTGCAATTTTGAGTAAAACATAGGGACCAAATTTGTAAATCATTCTTTTTACAGGCTTTGTTTCGAAAAATAGCATCTGCATTACCAGGAATGGAAACTTTATCTACAACAAAGCAGGAAGATATGGTCGATGTAAATCTTAAGTCCAGCAATACAAGTGGGTCCCAGCAACCCCAATCAGGAGGCTGTGCATGTTGATTGATTCATATAATAAGATTCTTCAAATTACCAAATTAGTCCCTCATATTTTTTTTGAAGGTTTTAGTGGCTATATGGGAAAAAGGTTTTGTTATGTTTGACTTTAGGTGACTTAGTTTTTTAGTGCCATATTTTGTGCTTACTTTTTTGAGAGTGTTCTTATATTGTTTTTGTTTTCTTCGAATCTTAAACTTGGAGGCTTGAGATAGTGCTTAACTTTGGTGATTAATTATCAATTTCCAATTAAATATCGTTCTTAATTCGTCACTGATTATATTTAATATCGTTTTTATTTAATATGTTAAGTTAATCTTGATAAGGGTTGCTAGAGATCCTAAAATATAACAAATTGCACACTAGTTATCTTGAGTTCCATATATGCCTAAGAGTTGCACTTGTAATGTAATTGGTACTTTCACCAATCAGTTGAGCTTATTATTTTGTGTATTATCAAATTCAAATGATAACAAGTTTTAATGTGGATATTGGCCTTTATTAATGCATTTATAAAACTATGGTATTTAATATATAAAGGATTAATATTGAAAAAAATTATACCAAGTGGTCTTGTTTTAATTTTTTACAATTGTAAATTTTCTCCAAGTATATATATTAGAATTATTTTAATTTTCCATTTGAGATAATCTGGTTTTAAGGTTATGGCATTTCAGTTCATTAAGACCTCATGATGATATTCATATTTGATTTGTCATGCATAATAATGTTTCAAATGATAAGACTATATATGTATCTATGTAATGCCAAAAGATTTAAACAAGAATAGAAAAAAAAAATCATATCTATGACATTCACTTACGGGTTGCATAAACAAAAAAATGCATCGAAAAACTCCAATCTAATGTAATTTTGGAATCAGCAAACTCTGAGTCTGAGTCATTTGATATACGTGAGTCTTGTTTGAGTGGAAATGTGATTAAGGTGTTGTTTCTCTTTTTATAAAAACCTCTTCAAACCACTTATTGCTGCGCGGCGCAGCACACGTGCAACACTTTCCCTCTCGCAGCAATTTGTTTTTTGGAAGACTTCAGACTACAAAACCTCTGCGTGTGTGCTGCGTGGCGCAACACTTGACTTGCCTCTTCTAACCTCTTCAGCT